ATCGTTTTTTATTTATCACAGTTTTCCTTAACCAATTATGTTCTTTAATGCAAGGCCGACAGACAAGTTCCTTACTTTCTCCTCCTTCCACTTTCCTCTTCCATTTTTGCGGTAAGGCTGCAATTATTTGGTTGTAATTTTGGGTAGAGCAGACATTTCCATATGTTTTTGTTAGCTGCATGTGCGACATAACTCCACCAGTCCTACCGATGATATCATTTACAAAGATTATACCTTTTTTTTTTTTTTTTTAAAGAAGGTTTTTTGTCAATTAGTATATTTGAGTTTAACCACAATATTTGTTGCATTATTTGTTCTGTCGTTTCTGGAAGATTAAATTGAAATTGCAACCAACTTTCTATGGCTTGTTTTAGAAATAGTGATAGCCTACCTTCAAACTCAGTGCCTCTTTGCTTGACATCATGTGAAAATCAAAAGAAATCAGCCAAGACCTCAGAAAATAATTTGTAGACCTCCACAAGTCTGGTTCATCCTTGGGAGCAATTTCCAAACGCCTGAAGGTACCACGTTCATCTGTACAAACATTAGTATGCAAGTATAAACACCATGGGACCACGCAGCCATCATACCGCTCAGGAAGGAGACGCGTTCTGTCTCCTAGAGATGAACGTACTTTGGTGCGAAAAGTGCAAATCAATCCCAGAACCACAGCAAAGGACCTTGTGAAGATGCTGGAGGAAACAGGTACAAAGATATTTATATCCACAGTAAAACGAGTCCTATATCGACATAACCTGAAAGGCCGCTCAGCAAGGAAGAATCCACTGCTCCAAAACCGCCATAAAAAAGCCAGACTACGGTTTGCAACTGCACATGGGGACAAAGATCGTACTTTTTTTGAGAAATGTCATCTGGTCTGAATAAACAAAAATAGAACTGTTTAGCCATAATGACCATCGTTATGTTTGGAGGAAAAAGGGGGTCGCTTGCAACCCGAAGAACACCATCCCAACCGTGAAGCACTGGGGTGGCAGCATCATGCTGTGGGGGTGCTTTGCTGCAGGAGGGACTGGTGCACTTCACAAAATAGATGGCATCATGAGGAAGGAAAATTATGTGGATATATTGAAGCAACATCTCAAGACATCAGTCAGGAAGTTAAAGCTTGGTCGCAAATGGGTCTTTCAAATGGACAATGACCCCAAGCATACTTCCAAAGTTGTGGCAAAATGGCTTAAGGACAACAAAGTCAAGGTATTGGAGTGGCCATCACAAAGCCCTGACCTCAAACCTATAGAAAAGTTGTGGGCAGAACTGAAAAATTGTGTGCGAGCAAGGAGGCCTACAAACCTGACTCAGTTACACCAGCTCTGTCAGGAGGAATGGGCCAAAATTCACCCTAACTTATTATGGGAAGCTTGTGGAAGGTTACCCGAAACATTTGACCCAAGTTAAACAATTTAAAGGCAATGCTACTGTTAAGTTGCGTCAATTCAAATCTGGTATTAGGAACAAAAGAGGTCAACACGACTTCTAAGATATACTAGTATTTTAATTAATGCAAAACCTTCAATGGTAAATATGACGTTCGTATATACGGGCTCCTTGAAATACCTCGCAGGGCATTCAGAGAACTAATCCATTGTTACAGGTTCTTCCTCAAATACTCTTGACAGTTCTCAGTTCCCGCTCTCTGCTGGCCAATCAGAGTAGAGACTGAGCGTGGTTTAGACTTACTCAGCCAATCCGTTGGCGCACCCCTGTTGCCAGGCATAAGTTCTTATCATAACAACCTGTCATGGTGTGAAGAGCCAGCTCCCCTAGACACCATTCCTACGTTCAAGGATGGTTCACAGACAACAAAGAGGCAGTGTTCGTATCTGTAAGAAATACAAGTCTTATCTGTCCTTCCCCCTAACGTTCTTACATGAATCACAGCCTGTTATGTGAAACAATTCATATCAGTACAGTACAAACCTATGCTTATCATTAATGCATTCCTTCTAAGCTATTCATCACATACAGATCCAATTATTAGAAAATAGAACCCCACACTACCAAATACTAATTGAGTGTAAATAAACTTCTGACCCACTGGGAATGTGATGAAATAAATAAAAGCTGAAATAAATTATTCTCTCTACAATTATTCTGACATTTCACATTCTTAAAATAAAGTGGTGATCCTAACTGACCTAAGACAGGGAATTTTTAGAAGGATTAAATGTCAGGAATTGTGACTGAGTTTAAATGTACCCACAAGCTTTAAAGAGCATAAGTATAGATTGCATGTGTGTGCTTCATCATCAATAATGATCACAGCTTGAAGATTTGATTGTCCAGTTTTTCACATTTGAACACAATACAACCAAGCTTATGACATGCCTTTCCATCTACAGCCCTACCACTCTCTGATGTGTAGGTGGATTCATGTGGGACACTTTGCAGTGCACTGCCAACTCACACGGACATACAGTGAGGGGAAAAAGTATTTGATCCCCTGCTGATTTTGCACGTTTGCCCACTGACAAAGAAATGATCAGTCTATAATTTTAATGGTAGGTTTATTTGAACAGTGAGAGACAGAATAACAACAAAAAAATCCAGAAAAACGCATGTCAAAAATGTTATAAATTTATTTGCATTTTAATGAGGGAAAAAAGTATTTGACCCCTCTGCAAAACATGACTTAGTACTTGGTGGCAAAACCCTTGTTGGCAATCACAGAGGTCAGACGTTTCTTGTAGTTGGCCACCAGGTTTGCACACATCTCAGGAGGGATTTTGTCCCACTCCTCTTTGCAGATCTTCTCCAAGTCATTAAGGTTTCGAGACTGACATTTGGCAACTCGAACCTTCAGCTTCCTCCACAGATTTTCTATGGGATTAAGATCTGGAGACTGGCTAGGCCACTCCAGGACCTTCATGTGCTTCTTCTTGAGCCACTCCTTTGTTGCCTTGGCTGTGTGTTTTGGGTCATTGTCATGCTGGAATACCCATCCACGACCCATTTTCAATGCCCTGGCTGAGGGAAGGAGGTTCTCACCCAAGATTTGACGGTACATGGCGGTGTCCATCGTCCCTTTGATGCGGTGAAGTTGTCCTGTCCCCTTTAGCAGAAAAACACCCCCAAAGCATAATGTTTCCACCTCCATGTTTGATGTGGGGATGGTGTTCTTGGGGTCATAGGCAGCATTCCTCCTCCTCCAAACACAGCGAGTTGAGTTGATGTCAAAGAGCTCCATTTTGGTCTCATCTGACCACAACACTTTCACCCAGTTCTCCTCTGAATCATTCAGATGTTCATTGGCATACTTCAGATTGGCATGTATGTGTGCTTTCTTGAGCAGGGGGACCTTGCGGGCACTTCAGGATTTCAGTCCTTCACGGCGTAGTGTGTTACCAATTGTTTTCTTGGTGACTATGGTCCCAGCTGCCTTGAGATCATTGACAAGATCCTCCCGTGTAGTTCTGGGCTGATTCCTCACCGTTCTCATGATCATTGCAACTCCACGAGGTGAGATCTTGCATAGAGCCCCAGGCCGAGGGAGATTGACAGTTCTTTTGTGTTTCTTCCATTTGCGAATAATCGCACCAACTGTTGTCACTTTCTCACCAAGCTGCTTGGCGATGGTCTTGTAGCCCATTCCAGCCTTGTGTAGGTCTACAATCTTGTCCCTGACATCCTTGGAGAGCTCTTTGGTCTTGGCCATGGTGGAGAGTTTGGAATCTGATTGATTGATTGATTGCTTCTGTGGACAGGTGTCTTTTATACAGGTAACAAACTGAGATTAGGAGCACTCCCTTTAAGAGTGTATCCTAATCTCAGCTCGTTACCTGTATAAAAGACACCTGGGAGCCAGAAATCTTTCTGATTGAGAGGGGGTCAAATACTTATTTCCCTCATTAAAATGCAAATCAATTTGTAACATTTTTGACATGCGTTTTTTTTCTGGATTTTGTTGTTGTTATTCTGTCTCTCACTGTTCAAATAAACCTACCATTAAAATTATAGACTGATCATTTCTTTGTCAGTGGGCAAACGTACAAAATCAGAAAAGGATCAAATACTTTTTTCCCTCACTGTAACCAGGGTTGTGTTCATTAGGCACAAAACGCAAGAAAAAGAGTGAGCAACTGCCTGAACCAATTAGGAACATTTTTCTGTTGCTAAATGTTTTTCTACGGTGTGCCCTAATGAATACAATCCAGGTACTAATGAGATGCCAGGGGACAGAGGACGCTTGTAGGGACAATTTTTGCATCAACCATTCCTCCTCAGAAACAACCAATCAGGGAGGACCACCGTGATACTCTTCTTTCCTCTCCACATCCATCAACATCCATCTATATAATCCAGTCTTCCGCTGTCCCGGAGAAAAGGAAAAGCTCTACCACTCTTCTCATTAGGTCAGAAACACACTTATTCTGTAGTCACACACCCATATTCATTGCTTAGAAAAGTTTGTTGTTGCATCATTGGAACATTGTAGAGGTAAGTGCTATTCTGCTTTCACTATAGTGAATCGCTATAAAAATCTGTTTTATTGTTGATGTCTGTGCATTCTGTCGTCTCGTAGTGACGTGGTAATGTTCGCTGGATGTCATAAATTGTCGTTTTGAAGTCGACTACAATCAGCACCTGGTAGTTTTGTTTATGTAGATGCAGTGTAGTGCATAGTTCAGGTCATCTTTCGTTATGGTGCTTATGTAGATTCAGTGCATAGTTCAGGGCGTCTTTCATTATGGTGCTTATGTAGATTCAGTGCATAGTTCAGGGCGTCTTTCGTTATGGTGCTTATGTAGGTTCAGTGCATAGTTCAGGGCGTCTTTTGTTATGGTGTTTATGTAGATTCAGTGCATAGTTCAGGGCGTCTTTCGTTATGGTGCTTATGTAGAGTCAAGGGCATCTTTTGTAATGGGTTACCATTGGGACACTGCGGGACATTTGTTTTGCAACTGTTAACTGGCCTATAGCAGTAGGGATGTAGTGAGTTGGTCATGTGTCTATCTACCACCCAGGGATCCAGTCCGCTGGCGATGGCAGCGGCGGCCCGCAGACGCCATGGCAACATGCCCCAAAGGCGGGCGACTTTGTTGCCGCGGGGGTTCCAGCGCTCCATGGCCAAACAGGTGACATCGACAGCACCGGAGAGACGGCCTACTGGGATGACTGAGCCTACTGGCCCAAACATGGTAACCACAGCAGGGGCACCGAGGCAGACAACACAGCAGGTAATATGGAAAGGGGGGAGGGGGGAGAGAAAGGGGTGTAGAAAAGAGAGAGAGAAGGGTAGAGATAAGAATGTAGAGCCATAAAGATGTAGAAAGGGGCAGAGGGGGATCGAAAGAAATAGAGAATTGGAGAGAAAGTGAGAGATGGCCATTTTATGTGTTTTGTGCATGGACTTTGTAGAAAGTGTTACACCAATTAGGTTGACAGGAAGTTGAAGTGTTGGAGAGTTTCTCTTACTCTGATAATACTGGTCCATCTTTGTCTGTCTCCCTGTAGCCTGGCACTATTCAGTCCTGTGGGATAGAAATGGGGCCAGGTTGGACATTTATCTGCAAAAACAAGATGTCCCCCTCATCCCCTCAGCAGCGTCAAAGTCACCCTGACCCACCCATCGCTCCTTTGACAGTCTGCCAGACAGAGCCCGACATACAGAGTTCTTATGGTTGTACCCTAAGATATCATAAAGTAATTAAGTACAGCGGTATGCCAAAGTTGCTGCTCTCATAAATGTACACTTCTCTCCTCAGGATGGGTCCATAGTGGGAAGAACAGAGAGGCTGATGGGAAAGACAGAACTACAGCAGCTTCACTGGAGAGAATCAGGTAGGCCAAGTCAGTTTCAGAAAATAATGACATCCCTTGGATAGTAATGCTCAGTCTTATGCGTTCGCTCAGACCTAATGTGTCCATTTTAGGACAGAGCCAACTCCAAGTCATCCACTTACCTTCCATGGATGTGTGGCTGTTCTAATATGGACACCGTACAAACCAAAACAGGATTTTCAAGACCTGATTAGCAACAGTTAATCAGTGAAGTGAATGCAGATTAAATATGACCATAAGTGCTGATGAAAGGGACTGGTAATTTGCTAGCAACTTACATAGCAACGAGACCTGGCTGAGACAAGCAAAAACAGTAAAGCGAAACTGACAGACATTTCAACTGACTTTTTTAATACATTGGCATTGACATCAAATGCCCACACTGGTCTTGTAATATCAACATATTAAAATTCAAATAACTACACAGCAAATTGGCCAGTGTTACTTTGTAGCATATTAGGTTTAAGAAAAGACCTGGTAGACTAAGGCCATTTTCCATATCCTCAGGATCCATCCAGAGTCCCAGAGGATTCTGGGCAGTTCCTGTGTAGCCACTGTGCGTCTGGAGCGTCTGAGGATCAAACTTGACCCAGGACAGTCAGTTGCCCTGTCAATGGTACAGCCACTGGTGTCTTTGGTGTCATTGTTACGCCAACCACACTCAGAGTTGCTGACTGAGGACGCTGTGGCCTCTCTGCCGGCGGTCATGACCCGAGAGGAGCATGTCCAACAGGTACAGACCATAGAGTTGGATAGAGGGCGCACTTGCCACAAAGCCTGCATGCTTTACCATGAAATATTACCATAGGTGCTGATGAAAGGGACTGGTAATTTGCTAGCAACATACGTAGCAACAAGACCTGCAGCGCCATTGAGGACTTTCAACATTTTGAAGCCGTCAACTGGGTGGGACTTCGTATGGGTAAACAAGTGATCACAGAATTCCATACGAGTCAGCCGGAGGGATCAGCCAATTAATTAAAGCCCTGAGCAAACATTCCATCACTGCATGTGGCAGTAAATCACCAACCTTGGCTTTATGCCTGTTCTGACAGCATCGATCCAGATGGCACTATTCACCCTTTCAGTTTGTTTAGTGACTGACAATAAACTCCTAGAAGTTGAAAAAGAAGGAATTGTCTACTTTAAAATAGCCCTCAATGGTGCTGCACATGCTGTCACAGAAGTCATTATGGCAAAGATGCAAAGAAGGGTCCTGTATCTACCTCTACAGATTCACCTGGTTCCCCACATATTTTATCATGTTTCGATACAGTGTAACAAATACATCAGTGCTTTAAAATGTCCTACTGTATTAGACGAGTCAGACGTTTAATTCCTAAATCAGGGTTTGACGTCAGTGAAAGAGTCGCATCAATGGACGTTTCTCCAGTTAGGATTCGGCCACCTCAAATCAAACTGGGTTAGAGAGGTCACACAGTTACAGTTATTGCCTGGGATTCAACGTTTGAAATGGCTTTCCTCCATGACCATCAACCAAGCTGATCTGTCCCTGTCCCATAGAGTAATGTGTTTATTGGCCAATTCTATACATTTGACTTGATGTTCCTGTTTGTCTTCTATTTGAAGACAGGGTCCAGTCTGGATATGCAGCAGAGTTCAGAGAACAGAGAAGAAGAGTCATCTGGATCAGAATCAGGGGCCTCAGGGATGGAGCCGACACAAATACAGGGGCCCCTCTGGACTGAACCACCACAACTTCAGGAGAGACCTGTACCCCCATCGCCCCCTATAGGACACCTTCAGGAGAGACCTGCACCCCCATCGCCCCCTATAGGACAAGCACCAGAATCAGATCTAGTACTGGACTTGGAGTCTGAATCTGAGTCTGAATTGGTTCCGGGTCTGAAATCTGGCTCCGATTCAGATTCATTGGAAATGGAATCAGACCTGGAGCCAGAACCAACGTCAGAACTGAATCTGTCAATGGAGTTGGATCCAAAGTCGGAATCAGAAACAAAACTGGAATCCGATTGGGAACCTGCAGATGGGGAGGACAGTAAGGTGGGTCATGTGGAGCAGTGTGCACCCATCGATGGGTCTATAGTGTCCCAGGAGCCACCTGAGAAGGAGGAAGGGGCAGCAGGGATGGAGAGTGAGGATTTCTGTGCGGTGTGCTTCAATGGGGGCGACTTGCTGTGCTGCGATGGCTGCCCTAAGGTCTACCACCTCTCCTGCCACATACCACCCCTCCAAAGCTCCCCGCTGTATGTATTAAGATGCCATTGTCGGTGTTTATTAACATTTTATAATGATTTCTTCTAAACATTTTTCCAATTAGAGCTTCACATCCTTTGAATTTTAGTGTATCCCACACATTTTACATGTGGGGATACAATTTCATTAATGTGTAGTATACTGTAGCGCAGACCCGGCGCCAAAACAAATCAGTTGGACGTGCCTTTGATTTCCATAGGCGGGCCCGTTTTTTCACGGAACCTCCTATGTGTGCACGCGCTTGCACTCATTTTTTAGCAAAGACAATAGGCAGCTGGTGAGTTTCAAGTTTGGGGAAGCTTACAATTTATACTACCTTTTCTACCAATCTGCGTGCCAGTTATGATTATTTTATATGCAGATTTTCGTGGAACAGTTTCATTTCAATAATAACGTTTTCGTTTCTCAAAATCATTGTCACATGGTTAAAAATAAAAATCTGAAGTAAAATGATAAAAATCTAAAAGTTAAAATTCAGCTATGGCGAGAGCACTAGCCTCTGCCATATGGACACATTGATACACTGTGATCCATTGGCAGCTAAAGAAATTAGCGCATAGAACTCAGAGATAGCCTATAGGCCAATGCAGCAGTAGGCCTATAATGCCCATCAACTAAGTAAAATACATAGGCCTAAAGCTGACAAATAAAAAAGTAGAACATATCCTGATGAAAATTCCAGTTCTTTCAATCACATTTATCTCTCTTTTCTGCCTGTCTGCATTCCTTTCTATCTGTCTTGACTTGAGCTATTGCTAGTGAAGTTCAACATTGTATCAAATCATCACAGGTTCCTGCCTGAAGAAGCAGTCGTTAACGAACTTGCAACATTGTATCAACTAGCCTATTCCGGGCCCTTAAAGTTTCCTGCACCAGTGAGTGAGCTCGGGACAGAAAGCTGTTTTAAATAACGTTTCCACTGGAATACTGTAGGCTATGGGATCATCAGATCATGATACACTACATGACCAAAGGTATGGGTACCACCGTGCTTGTCTGGTCCACGATCGTCGAGGAGGAGGAGGACCCAGGCGCAGCGTGATAGTCGTACATCTTACTTTATTAAGTGCACACACGGACAAACAAAACAACAAACGAATACGTGAAGGTCCACCGGTACTACACAAAACCAAAAAGGAACAAGATCCCACAAAACACTGTGGGGAAAACTGGCTGCTAAGAATGGCCTCCCAATCAGAGACAACAAGCAACAGCTGATACTCGTTGCCTCTGATTGAGAACCACACTGGCCAACATAGAAACACAATACTAGAATAGAACGTAGAACCAAAACACATAGACTCTACACACCCTGGCTCAACATATTAGAGTCCCCAGAGCCAGGGTGTGACATTGTCGAACATCTAATTCCAAAATCATGGGCATTGATATGGAGTTGGTCCCCCCTTTGCTGTTATAACAGCCTCCACGCTTTTGGGAAGGCTTTCCACTAGATGTTGGAACATTGCTGCGGGGACTGATGTTGGGTGATTAGGCCTGGCTCGCAGTCAGCGTACCAATTCCTCCCAAAGGTGTTTGACGGGGTTGAGGTCAGGGCTCTGTGCAGGCCTGTCAAGTTCTTCCACACCGATCTCGACAAACCATTTCTGTCTGGACATCGCTTTGTGCACGGGGGCATTGTCATGCTGAAACAGGAAAGGGCCTTTCCCAAACTGTTGCGACAAAGTTGGAAGCACAGAATCCTCTAGAATGTCATTGTATGCTGTAGCGTTAAGATTTCCCTTCACTGGAACTAAGGAGCCCGAACCATGAAAAACAGCCCCAGACCATTATTCCTCCTCCACCAAACTTTACAGTTGGCACTATGCATTCGGGCAGGTAGCGTTCTCCTGGCATCCGCCAAACCCAGATTTGTCTGTCGGACTGCCAGATGGTGAATCATGATTCATCACCAGAGAACACGTTTTCACTGCTCCAGAGTCCAATGGCGGTAAGCTTTACACCATTCCAGCCGACAATTGGCATTGAGCATGGTGATCTTAGGCTTGTGTGTGGCTGCTTGGCCACGGAAACCCATTTCATGAAGCTCCCGACAAACAGTTATTGTGCTGATGTTGCTTCTAGAGGCAATTTGGAACTCGGTAGTGAGTGTTGCAACCGAGGCAGATGATTTTTACGTGCTACACGCTTCAGCACTCGGCGGTCCCGTTCTGTGAGCCATTGTTACTCCTAGATGTTTCCACTTCACAATAACAACACTTACAGTTGACAAGGGCAGCTCTAGCAGGGCATACATTTGACAAACTGACTTGTTTTAAAGGTGGCATCCTATGATGGTTCCACGCTGAAAGTCACTGAGCTCTTCAGTACGGGCCATTCTACTGCTAATGATTGTCTATGGAGATTGTATGGCTGTGTGCTCGATTTTATACACCTGTCAGCAACAGGTGTGGCTGAAATAGCTAAATCCACTCATTTGAATGGGTGTCCACATACTTTTGGCCATTTGTATTTTTCTCTTTCACACCGAGGCTTGGTGATTATCGAGGCCGGGAGTGTTATAAATATTTATCAAATACTGAGGAACTATAATTTGCAAATAATGTTACAAAAAACAGAGTTTTTTTTACTTGTGTGAGGCGAAGAAAAAATGACTGAGAAGCTCAGCTCATTAGTGGTGGACGTGGTGAGTTAAGACCAGACATCAAAACATTTTTTCAAAACAATGAGGCTGATGCAACAGATCAGAACGTTTAGCTTAAAATGTTGAAACACTATTAGGCTATTTCTTCACATTATACACGCAGCAATGCGTACACAGCAGCATAGGCTATAAATGGGAATATTCCAAAATGCAATTAGCGGGAAAACGCCGTTCTCCAAAACACACCGCATGTGTTGTTAATATGACTAGGATTATGTATTTGGGTGCTGGACAACGAAAGAAAGCTGAGAACATGAGAGAAATACAGGTTTTAATGGCATTTGAGGAAGTGTTTATAAAATAATCCCTTTAACATTCCTATGGTCGGAACACGGTAAAATATGCCTCATAAAATGACAAGTCCAGATTTCAAACAATTACGTTTATGGTTAAATCCTTTTAAAACGTTCAGATTGCAAGGTGTGTGATGTTGCGGTGCGCAACAGGCACCGGCCTTTCTCTCCTATCTGAACAGTGCCTTAAGTATGACAGAATCAAGCCTTTAGAAATTAATATTAATTATCCGACCTACATTATATTTGTTAAATATGACTGGCGATTAGCCTATATATATTTAATTAAAAGTGTCATGTCAGCATCTGTCTGGACATGACAGAATAACCAATACGCATAGGCTATCACCTACAATTTGGCATGTAGGCTAATTATGTATATTTACACACACTTATGTTTTTCTTAACAGAATAGCTAGTGTTAACAAATTAGCTATTTTGGTTAATAACCTTGGTGCCCTAGCAGATTGAGCACTTCTTGACGGCCATTTAATGGCCTTGCCCCTAAAATCACGAAATTCCAGAAATCCTAAATCAGACATTGCAAAATGGGCACTTTCCTACATTTGCATGCAGCAGGCCAGTTAGGGCTACTTCTATGCGTGCTCAGGCGCGCGCGTTCCCTCAACGTTATCAGGACAGCACTCCAAACAAAAGACAAAGAAAATATTAACAAAACTCGTAATGGTTATGAATAAACCAAAACTTGTTTCTCACAAGTGTAGCAGGTTGTGAACTCTGCACATAATTTGGGCGAGAGTGAGCCCTCTCGCTTCGCGTCTTCCTCTCTGCTGAAACACTCTCGATTGATTAGTCTTTCTGTCGGCGTGCATCTCGGTCAAATACATGATCAATATTTAAATATTTTATTTGGACTGGCACAGAGGTACGGTAGTGCGGGCCAGGCCCCCAAAGGCCCCGCCCATAACGCCGGCCCTGCTGTAGTTTAAAACAAAACCAGTCTTGAGTTGGCATTGTTGACAATGTTCACAGAGCAACAATATATGTTATGTAACCAATAACCATACTGACAGTTTATGTAATACCGAAAGCCTCTGGATTAGATGAGGAAATGGAACAAATATGAATCTGACCGTCTCTCTCTCTCTGTCCCACAGGGGCGACTGGGTGTGCACATTGTGCCGGAGTGACCAAGACCCTGGGGTGGGGTATGACTGTGAGACCATACACACCTCTACAGACCACCAGGGGGCAGGCACACCCTACACACTGTCAAGCCAAAACCAAAGAGTGGGTTATGATGATGATGATGATCTTGACTGTATCTGTTAGGACATTCTTTCCATGTCATACAGCAAGCAAGCATACAAGTATTCACATAGACAGATTTACAGCACATCACAAACATTACACATACGTTAAAGGAGTCCAGATAAGAGCCAGCTACAGTATCTCTTTATGATTAGGGACTATCATGGTATAATCAAATCAAGATTTATTTGTCACATGCGCCGAATACATTACATTTACATTTGACATTTTAGTCATTTAGCAGACACTCTTATCCAGAGCGACTTACAGTTAGGGAGTGCATACATACTTTTTTTATTTTTCATACTGGCCCCCCATGGGAAATGAACCCACAACCCTGGCGTTGCAAACGCCATGCTCTACCAACATCCCTAGATGTAGACCTTACCTGTGAAATGCTTACTTACAAGCCCTTAACCATCAACTAAGGTAAAAAATAATAAGTCACAAAATAACAATAACGAGGCTGTATACAGGAAGTACCAGTATCGAGTCAATGTGCAGGGACAGGTTAGTCCAGGTAGTTTGTACATGTAGGTAGGGGTAAAGTGACTATGCATAGATAATAAACAGCGAGTAGCAGCAGTGTAAAAACAAATGGAGGAGGGGGGGGGGTTCAATGTAAATAGTCCGGGTGGCCATTTGATTAATTGTTCAGCAGTCTTAGAGCCTTTTGGTCCTAGACTTGGTGCTCCAGTACCGCTTGCTGTGCGGTAGCAGAGAAAACAGTCTATGACTTGGGTGACTGGAGTCTTTGACAAAAGAGGGGAATAGTGGGGTTCAGTATGATTTAGTTATGTGTATCTCTTTCTTTGCAGAGGTGTGAGAAGCTTACTCTTCTGCTGTCCAGCCACATTCTCAGTGCTCCATTCCAGGAGCCTGTCAGCCCACTGGTAATAAGGCACTAATCATCTTCCTCCAAGTCTATTGACGTATCTTCCTCTATTCATGTCATTTGTATGGGACAATGCCAACAATACTCTGTGCTTCAATGCTGTAAATTAAAAGAGAGAATATCTCATTCAATATGATATGGTATGATATGTTGGGATAAAATGTAATCGACTCTGTGATTGGGCTCCAGGCTCGTCATTACTACCAGATCATTAAGAGGCCGATGGACCTATCAGTGATCAGGAGGAAGCTGGACCAGAGGAACACTCTTCACTACTTCACAGCCCAGCAGTTTGTGGACGACGTCCTGCTCATGTTCAGGAACTGTGCAACGTTCAATTACGTAGGTCAAATCCATATTAATTAAATCATTATTTTGTTAGTTATTTTAAATATTTTAATGGTAAGACAAGGTACATAATATTCAATTTCCAGAAACTAAAACTATACCTATCTTTTGTCTTGCCAATAAGCCATAGGGATTTCCCCATAGACATAAAGGAGCCTGGAACACAGCTATTGAATTTTTTAGTTTTTTACGTAAATTCTCCTTCATTGTGTTGAGAGTTGAACTCTGCAGCTCCCTTCATGACATCTGACCTCTTGACCTCTAGCCGGACTCGGAGGTCGCCAACGCAGGTCGTAACCTGGAGGTCTTCTTCCTGTCCAAGCTGAGGGAGGTGTTTCCCAGCCAAGCCTTTCCCACGCAGACCCAGGACAGAGCGAACAGGACCAGTCTCGCTTGGCTGAACAGGAAAAGGAGGGACTACCACAGGAAGAAGAAACGAGGTCACTTCCTTGATGGGAAGAGACATCACTTCTGAAGTGGTCTTGTGTAATGTTGTATGGTGGCAAAACATCTCACATTGTTATATATTTTGAATATTAATTCAATCTTAGTCTGGATAAACACTACCAGTCAAAAGTTTGGACACACTAACTCATTCAAGGGTTTTTCTTTATTTTTATATTGTAGAATAATAGTGAAGACATCAAAACTATGAAATAACACATATGGAATCATGTAGTAACCAAAACAGTGTTAAACTAATTCTTCAAATAGCCACCCTTTGCCTTGATGACAGCTTTGCACACTCGGCAATCTCTCAACCAGCTTCATGAGGTAGTCACCTGGAATGCATTTCAATTAACAGGTGTGCCTTCTTAAAAGTTAATTTGTGGAATTTATTTCCTTCTTAATGCATTTGAGCCAATCAGTTGTGTTGTGACAAGGTATACAGAAGATAGCCATATTTGGTAAAAGATCAAGTCCATATTATGACAAGAACAGCTCAAATAAGCAAAGAGAAACGACAGTCCATCATTACTTTAAGACATGAAGGTCAGTCAATATGGAACATTTCAAGAAAGTTTCTTCAAGTGCAGTCGCAAAAACCATCAAGCGCTATGATGAAACTGGCTCTCATGAAGGCCGCCACAGGAATGGAAGACCCACAGTTACCTTTGCTGCAGAGGATAAGTTCATTAGAGGTACCAGCCTCAGAAATTGCAGCCCAAATAAATGCTTCACAGAGTTCAAGTCACAGACACATCTCAACATCAACTGTTCAGAGGGGACTGTGTGAATCAGGCCTTCATGGTCGAATTGCTGCAAAGAAACCACTACTGAGGGAAACCAATAAGAAGAAGAGACTTGCTTGGACCAAGACACACAAGCAATGGACATTAGACCCGGTGGAAATTTGTCCTTTGGTCTGGAGTCCAAATGTGAGATTTTTAGTTTCAACCGCCGTGACTTTGTGCGACGCGGTGTGGGTGAACGGATGATCTCTGTATGTGTAGTTCCCACAGTAAGGCATGGAGGAGGAGGTGTTATGGTGTGGGGGTGCTTTTATTTTTTTGTCTTTTTTTGTCTTTTTTTCTTTTTTTCATTTTTTTTTTTAGCAGACGCTTTTATCCAAAGCGACTTACAGTCATGTGTGCATACATTTTACATATGGGTGGGGGAATCGAACCCACTACCCTGGCTTTACAAGCGCCATGCTCTACCAACTGAGCTACAAAGGACTACAGCTGTTGGGACTGATGCATGCTCAATTCTGAGGATGTTAAACCCACAAGTTAACAAAAGTGGTGGAAACATGTTACGAGAGAACCTCACAAGAATACATTTACAGCATCATAGACAAGTAAAAATGCACAAAATTCTCACTTTTCTTTCACGTTAAGAAAAAACTTTGATTTGTCTCCTGGTGTCTGGCCCAATTGAACAGTGTTCAGACATGGTGAATTCTGCAGAGGTCTCTTCTTTTAGAATCAAAGTGGACTTCAAACAAAAGTACACTAAAAGCTTTCGCATTGGAAGCAGAGACACAGGAAACGACTAGTTTCACATTCGCAGCCTGTGAAGGAATTGTCCATTTAACTGGTGATTTACAACATCCCTGCCGGCCAAACCCTCCCCTACCTTGGACGACGCTGGGCCAATTGTGCGCCGCCCCATGGGTCTCCCGGTCGCGGCCGGCTGCGACAGTGCCCAGACTCGAACCAGGATCTCTAGTGGCACAGCTAAGGCAGTGCCTTAGACCACTGCGCCATTCGGGAGCCTACCAGAGTGGCCTACCATCAAAAACAATGGAGAAAATGCATCCCATAACAGTTTAACATGGAAATAACAGTTCTATCATTCAGCCTACAGTAGCAGCCAATGTGTGCTACACTCCGTGAGACTTTTGAAACAAGTGGGACTTGACATTAACCTTTTTAGCTGTCTGTGATTTATTTAGAATTCAAGGCACACTTAACCAGCATGGCTACCACAGCATTCTGCAGCGATACACCATCCCATCTGGTTTGGACTTAGTGCGACTATCATTTGTTTTTCAACAGGACAATGACCCAACACACCTCCAGGCTGTGTAAGGGCTATTGTACCAAGAAGGAGAGTGATGGAGTGCTGCATCAGATGACCTGGCCTCCACAATCCCCCGACCTCAACCCAATTGAAATGATTTGGGATGAGTCGGACGGTAGAGTGAAGGAAAAGCAGTGCTCAGCATATGTGGGAACTCCTTCAAGACTGTTGGAAAAGCATTCCAGGTGATGCTGGTTGAGAGAATGCCAAGAGTGTGCAAAGCTGTCATCAAGGCAAAGGGTGGCTATATGAAGAATCTCAAATATAAAATATATTTTGATTTGTTTCACAATTTTTTGGTTGCTACATGATTCCATATGTGTTATTCCATAGTTTTGATGTCTTCACTATTATTCTACAATGTAGAAAATAGTAAAAAATAAATAAAAACCCTTGAATGAGTTGGTGTGTCCAAACTTGTAGGCAAATGGGAACGTTTTATTAATAATTTGTGATTAAATGACTTTATTAAACATTAGGGGCCAATTGAATCCATCGATGGCCACCAGATTATCGCCATCTGATATTTTGTTAAACCATCAATACCGCTAAAATCACCCGCACAGTGATCACAATTGCAACCATTATTGGCCACCGATTTACCGCTCCGTAAAGCGGATGTCGGAGTTTATTTCTTTGTCCTGATTGCTGCCAACATTTTTCAAGACTATTTCACCTTCTGCTGTGTTTTATCATCAGATCAATTGATTCCTGCTATTATAGTAGATGAATGGCAATTTATCTATTTGACAATAATTCCATACAACTGAAATAAAGTATTCAATTTCCTCGTTTACCACTAGGTTGAAGATGGTAAGGTTAAGACAACAGCGTCACAATAATGCAGAGGTTCTACCACTCTGAATCAACCATGGTAGCTACGCTGCCTAGGCAGAAAAAAGACCACAACGATCTAGCCAACTAGCTAATGTTAGCATATAAGATCAGTGGCATGTATTCATGGATGCCAAGGGAAGCCATGCTTCCCCAAAAAATTGACCAAGAAAAATATGAAAAAACAACAATTTACCTTTAGTCTCTCTGTGTTTCATCATTTTCCTTCAATTCGCAAGAGGCTGAATGTATCTCACCGGAGAAGCATCCGAGCGAGCGAAACAGTGCCCCTCTGTCTCTGTAGCCCATCTATCTGATGCTGTCTGGTCAAAAATAGTATGATATTTTTGCCACCCGTAGCATTGAATGCAAGGGAAGCCAGCAAGCATTTGGCCTCCCTTGATATTTTTTTTATACAATAATATCCTATCAGCGTTGCGCTAAACTGAGTGAGCTCAACTGTGAATGGTCCTGGCGCACCACATTTTTAAGTGTAAAGGGAAGACAGTTTGGATTTGGCTTTACACCAATCACATCACATCAAGCCAAATGTAATTTAACAGAAAAAAACTTGAATTGTTGCATCTCGTTGTGTTGTTGTCCTCCGGTGGCTAGCTAGCTAGCAAAAATTGTCCCTTTCCTAAATTAGCCATGGATGGAGATAGGGATTTGGACTTGTGGTTTAACTTAATTCTCTGTACTGACCAATGATTATAACAGCGATTCTGATCCAACCATAAATTCTGGCCTGAGAGGATGGAAGTTCAATATGTAGCTAGATGTAACAGTAGTATGCTAATGTTAACTAGCTGGCTAATTGTTGGCCATGAAAGGAAGTTAGGCTAGCCAACAAGCATTTTAGACAGGAAGCCTAGGAAAACTAAAACTAAAAGTGTGTACTGTATGACAGAGTCATAAAACATTTTCTTAACATGAAAGAGAGGAGGATGGCATTGGCCATAGGGTGAGTCAACATGTTTTCTCTACTTACGCACACACACACAGAAATCAGTACCATGGACAGCCACATGATATTTAGCTTACGTTGATTGGACTAAATTGTTTTTGGAATCTTTTAGTTGTCACTGTATTAGTAGGCATAGGTGATTTGATGATGTTGAAATGTTGAAGTTGAAATGGTCCTGGAATAGTGGAGGCAGCTCCTGTTTTCTTTGCAACTTGCGGTAACTATCGGGTGTTCTAAATCAATAGTAGTCTGAAAATGTCGGAAACATTAACTTGCTTGACCGTGCTGTAGGTCATGTAACTGTTTGTTACATGCAGTGGTGTATGTAAAAATACTTTAAAGTACTACTTAAGTAGTTTTTTGGGGTATCTGTACTTTACTTTACTATTTATATTTTTGACAACTTTTACTTCACTACATTCCTAAAGAAAATAATGTACTTTTTACTCCATACATTTTCCCTGACATCCAAAAGTACTCGTTACATTTTGAATGCTTAGCAGGACAGGAAAATGGTCCAATTCACACACTTATCAAGAGAACATCCCAGGTCATCCCTACTGCCTCTGGCGGACTCACTAAATACACATGCTTCATTTGTAAATGTTCTATCCGTAATTTTAAAAAGAAGAAAATGATTCCGTCCAGTTTGCTTAAAATAATGAATTTGAAATTATTTATACTTTTACTTTTACTTTAGATACTTAAGTATATTTTAGCAATTACATTTACTTTTAAAACCAAATACTTTTACTCAAGTATGACAATTGGGTACTTTTTCCACCACTGGTTACATGCAATATGCTTTGTGGACTCCACCAGACAGATATTACTCTCCGGTTTTGTGATGAAACAAAGGTGTGGTTGAATTTGTTCTACCACTGTGTCTTATAGCCTTAGGCTATATCACGGTAGCAAGGCATATGAATTTAACAGGTTATAGAGCAAATAACGCAATTATCACAACGCATAGGTTGTAAAATGGCTTTTTTTCCCATGGCTTGGCTTCCCCAGTGATTTTACCCACGCACCGCTACTGCATAAGATACAGCTCATCCTATTCATACATAGCTGACATAGCTAGCTGGTCAGGTTGAAGATGGAAAGGTTAAGACAACGTAACAATTCCATGCGGAAGCTTTAGAAAA